TGTTATGGAAATGTGATTATAGATATTCCCATATTATTATAATTCTTATGAAAAATCTGGTAACTTTAGTAACCATGCAGTCGTTAAAGATAGCTATTATTTCTTTTTGAGAAGAATTTGTTTTCATTGCTAATGCTAACAATTTTTCTATGCAGGTGCTGCGGAAGACCACCAGGAATGAAAATATTTGGACCATAAGTAATATAGATATGTTTATACAATATAGAATTCAGATAAAAAAATATTTTCGGGTAGATTTTTTTCCGGTTCTAAAATTTCAAATAACTAGGTTATATGGATGATTTTATAACACTTGACAACAAATTTTAGTTTTTTAATTGTATGTTGTGGGAAAAGTGCACTTCTTTGTTAATTTTGGGGCGCTGAATCCAAAAATGACAATGAAATAAAAAAATTAGTTGCGGTTTAGAAAAAAAACTTTTTTCTTTTAAGGATATATTAAAAAAAGTAACAAGATTCATATACTTATAAGAATCACTATATGCGCTGTCTTTTTGCTGTTCTTTTATGGATCGTTTTTGGAGCATCTCTACCAAGAGTCCAACAGTAGTCTGCAAGCATGGAAGGATTCCACTTTCCCTGGTACCTTTTTCCATTGTTGAAATATCCTGATGAAAACGTTCGCCGTGCTCATCACTTACGGCTCCGCAATTGTCAGGAAAAAAGTCCAGGTGTGAGTGTAGGAAATGTATCTTAACAGACATATTACAGCTCATCTTTTGATACGATGACAGCATATTTTTGACAAGGGTTTTATAGTTGTCAGCTTTTCTATTTCCCAAGAAATTAGTGACCACCAGACGGAAATCATTCCAAGCAGTTTTTTCAATACCTGTTAAAGTGTTTTCAAACTGTGTATCTTTCAAAATATTTCGAATCTGTGGCCCAACAAAAATACCTTCTTTAACCTTTGCCTCACTTAGTCTTGGAAATTTCAGACGCAGGTATTGAAAAGCTGACCCATCTCTATCTAATGCCTTGACAAAGTTTTTCATTAGGCCCAACTTGATATGCAGTGGTGGTAATAATTTTTTTTTCGAATCTACTAATGGCATATGCTGTACATTTTTTTGACCTGGCTCTAGGAATTGACGAACAGGCCAGTTTTGTCTGGTGTAATGAAGTGCCTTTGCCCGACTGTCCCAGTCACACAAAAAACAGCAAAACTTTGTGTAGCCTAGCTGCAGCCCAAGTAAAAGAGCAACAACTTTCAAATCGCCACAAATATGCCATTGGTGCTCATCGTATTTTATGCATGTCAATAGGTACTTCATATTGTCATATGATTATTTCATGTGAACTGCATACCCTACAGGAAGAGATGGTAAAATATTTCCAATATGCAATAACACTGCCTATAAGCTCAATGTTGAACTGTCTATAAACAATCTCCATTCTTCTGGGTTATAGTTTATATTTAAAGCCGCCAGTAAGCCGTTAATGTTACTGCAGAAAACCAAGTTATTCTCCATATTGAAAAATGGTTCTAAGTCTTTGTGGCGTTTACGAAAAACACATACCGAAACATCGTCTTCTAACAAGTTCCACTGCTGCAGTCTTGATCCAAGTAACTCTGCCTTACATTTTGGAAGTTCTAAATCTCTTACAAGATCATTTAATTCTGACTGTGTTATTTTGTGCGGTTGGTGGCATGACGTGCTCGGTATAAAATCAGGATCTCTTGACGTTGATGGCATATCTTCTTCCTGACGAATCACTCGATCGCCATGATCTGATTCGTTTTCTGATTCGCAAGTGTAGGATTCTGGGGGTTTTGGAATAGGATTTTCGTCACTGTGAGGCACAGGTCTCATCGCAGATGGTATGTTTGGGTAGTTAATAACCGATTTTTTTTTTCTTGGACATACCTGTGGCTTGTCCAACACAAGGTACGATGCAAAAGTAACAATCATTAATATGATTTGTAGGCTCTCTCCAAACCATTGGGACAGCAAAGCGCATAGACCGTTGTTTGCCATTTAACCAGCTCCTCAGACTTGAAGCACATGTATTACAGCAGATGTGGGGTGCCCACTGTTTGTCTTGATCACCTAGTTTACAACCGAAATAAAGCTGATATGCCTTTGTTATTAGTGGAGTAATAGACCGTCTCTGAGACGCAAAAGTCACAACACCACACACGTAACAAAACTGATCTGGATTGTTACACTTTCGAGACATCTTGCATGAACGCTGTCACCAACTGAGGAAAAAATGGCTAATATAAATCAATATAATGTACACGTATGTATAACGTAACACAATCATGCCGATTACATCATCTTTCCTTGTCGAATATAAAAATGTAGCACGTGCATTCTTGTGAATTACAGTATATTAACACTGTCACAGCAGGAACACATATAATTACCGTATCTCTAAAACTTGATCTAATATTGAAAAAATAAGTTTCATTCCGGTTTTAGCACATTAAAAATAGTAATATTTTGTTGATTTTATTTAGGATATTTTTTGGCTGTTGATCAGTGTAATTGCCTCTGTTATTGACGCTGCTGCTTTAACAAATAAGTAACTACTACAAAGCTACAAAAATATGTTAATAACACATGGCGTTATAAAATCTTCCATATATCATGAGAAATACGCACTATAAAATTATACAACAGTCTCAGATTTATGCAAAGAGCCATCAACGTCGCATGTGATGTTCGCGCACAATATGGCAACCATGTGGCATCCAGAAAAAAAGGCGATTAACACTGACATAAATCAACCGTGATAGCACGTGGCTAAACCTCCTTCAGTGTTATACGTTTTGTGGCACAGAGAATAGAATATTTGTTTTTTTGTTTTGACGATTGCGAAAGATTAGCCACATAAATATTCTGAGATTATATATATATATATATATATATATATATATATAACTGTTCTTAATTAAATGTAAATCACTTCAAATTGACAATTCCTTAACTGTCTTTTGATTCTTTGGACATGCATGAAGCATGATATAAATTGAACTTAGATCTAGTTAACATTGAAGAGGACTGCAAAAGACATTGTCTGAAGATCAATGCTTCAAAATGTTTTACCATGCTATTTGGCCCAAAACATTTAGTGCAACGGTTAGATGGCACAATTGTTCCTAGTCTTAACGAAACCAATATCCCTATAGTAGACCATGCGAAGAATTTAGGCATCATCATGGATTCAGATTTGATGTTTAAGCAACATGTTACGCATTTATCTCGCTTCACATACATGCGTTTGAAGTTATTATACACCAAAACGCCATATTCTGAATTTCAAGACTCGCAAAAAACTGGCTGAGACTCTGGTGCTATCGTTAATAAATTATTCAATTGCTGTTTACTTGTCTTGATTACGTGACTAGATATCGAGTACAAAAAATTCAAAATAGATGCTGTATTTTCGTTTGTGGTCTGCGAAAGTTTAGTCATGTGTCTAAGAAGATCAATGAGCTTAGATGGTTGAGGATTGACCAGCTCTTCACATATAATCTACTAATTTTAGTACAAAGAATCAAAATCAATAGGCTACCTACTTATCTACTAAAAAGGCTAATACCACGTGGGGATCTCAATTACAGGAATCTCAGACATAACTCTGACTTCAATATACCTAGTTATAGGAGCAACATTTTCCATCGTAGCTTCACCTACAACGGCGTCAAGGTGTACCATAGTCTTAATGACAATCACTGGGTCTGCTACCCAAGCTAGCTTATATATTTCTTTTTATTTATTTTGTTTTTGTTTTTAGTTTTTTTTTGTTAGAGCGGGCCATGTAGTATAGATGTATAACATCTTAAGATTACTCTATTTAAGTCTTAATTATTGTATGTATTAGTTAGTCGACTGCTATTCATTTTTGTACGTGTTCCTGCGCTGTGAGATTAAGTGGTAAAGTAGCCAGCTGGCTAAACTTCGCCTCCCAGTGTGGATGGATTAATAAAGACATTATTATTATTATTATTATTATTATTTTATTTACTTATATATTAATTTTCTCTATAAGCTAGTATACGCAAACAAATTCATGAGAATCTAATAACGTACTTCTTATCTACTGGAACATTAACGATTAAATATTTTGAATCGGTTAAAATTGATTTCCATAACCGGTCATTTGATAGATTCGTTTTACATGAAACGAGTCATTTATCAGACTCCCATCACTAGCTTTATTATTGTGAAACCAGAACCAGAAACAGTGTAGCCAACCCTACAGTTTTAACTGTAGATCTACAGTTTTTTGGAAATTCTCTGTTTTTAGTTTAGGCCTCGAAATCTACAGTTTTTTATTTAGGCTGCTAGCGTCATCTATTTTATTTGCTACGTATTCCGTACACTAAGTCAGCTTCAGTAAAACTTACTACTATCGAACCGGAGGTAATGGGCAACCAATTTAATAGATGGCGCTGGTGGTGGACAGTTGTATATCGTTTCGGTCAATGTCTATTTTACCGACATTCTATTGTTTACTTATTCGGGAATCCCTCAATTCCGTCATTCGTCTGATTAGATTCATTTTTGTTCGGCTGACGTTGTGAGCTTAGCAAAAAGTTAGGAATATGCATAGCTGCAGTAGTGATAGTGAGTCAGATGTTGGTAAATCCCCACCAAGAAAGAAGAAAGTAGTGAGATACGAGCAAAAATTTATTGACTCTTGGCTCAGCGACGAAAAGTTTAGTGGATGGCTCGCAAAAAGTAAAAAAGGTAACACTTATTTTTACGGCTCTGCATGAGACTGTGATCGTAAATGCGGAATTCAAGAATTGACGAGACACAAAAATTCGTCAAAGCACCAAGCAAACTGTAAAAAAATACAAAAGCAACCTAAGCTTACATCTTTGTTCGCATCGACATCAAAATCACAGGAACCGCAGCAAATGGCAAAAGTCGGCGAAATTAAACTAGCATGTTTTATTGCGGAACACAACCTTGCATTTAATGTTGCCTCACATCTGACTAATTTAATAAAATCGGTGTGTCCAGATTCAAAAACTGCTGAATATTTGTCTATGAGCCGAACAAAAGCAAGAGCTATTGTAGTAAATGTGACAGGAAAAACCGCTGAAGAAAACTTGATAAAAAATTTAAGGGAAAACGAGTTTGCATTGCTGGTAGATGAGAGCACTGATAAGTCGACAATCAAGCATTTAGCTTTAATAGCGAGGCTAGTCAACACAAATTATGAAGTGGAAGATAAATTTCTAACTGTGATACCGATCACCGACGGGTCAGCTAAAGTTTTGTACCAAAAAACTGTCGAATATTTTAATGAGAAAGAAATTCCATACAAAAAGAATTTGTTAGGATTTGCTTCTGATGGCGCCAATGTCATGTTCGGGGGGAATAACTCAATGATCACTCATTTGAAGAATGACATACCTAATCTTTTCACCATGAAATGTATATGTCATTCATTTGCGCTTTGCGCATCTCACGCATGTTAAAATTACCGAGGGGTCTTGAAGATTTTTGCCGCGAAGTTTTCAATCACATCCAAAATTCACCTAAACGCATCGATGATTATAAAACTTTTCAGGCGTTTACAAATATAAAACCACATAAAATATTACACCCTGCACAAACCAGATGGCTATCGTTGAACGATGTGGTGAATAGATTGTTGGAACAACTTCCAGCTATAAAATTATATTTCCAATCAGCTGTGCTTACAGATCGTCTTCTTTCTGCCCAAAGTATTTTAACAAAAGCCATGGAACCGACAACAGAATTATACTTGGAATTCCTACGATTTGCTTTACCAATATTCACAGATTTGAATAAAGAAATGCAGGCAGAAAAACCAAAGTTGTACTTATTATATGATCAGATCTACACAGCATATGTGACAATTTTAGAATGCTTTATACAACCGGTTTATTTAGAACTAACAGAAGAAGAGATAAACAAAGCCGAAGATATCTTAAATGCCAAAGAACAAAAAATATTAAGTGTTGATGTAAATGACGTGCGGATCCATTTGCCGTTATTGGAAACATACGTTGGAGGAATGGTACCAAATTTGATTCGATTGAAAAGAGACAATCAAGAGTTGGACGACGATAAACTGTCAAATTTTTACAGGAAATGTAAAGAGTTTTACATTGAGGCAGTAGCCCAAACCAAACAAAGGTTTCCTTTCGCTGGTAAAGAACGTCAGGCACTAAAGTGTTTACAGATGTTGAACCCACAAGCGATTTTAGGTCATGACTTGAGCAAAAGACATATAACTTCAATTTCTGAATTATTATATTATTTCCCAAGTATTTGTCCAGAAAATGTAACGGAATTAGATAGAGAATGGAGAACTCTTCGCAGGACCAATTTTAATTTTGACGAGACTGAGACGCCCAGTGTAGATAAATTTTGGTGGCATATTTCCAAATTGAAAAAAGGCGACGGCTCTGCAATGTTTCCACTATTATCGACTTTAACCAGAAAGCTTCTATGTTTGCCGCACAGTACTGCTACGGCAGAACGCTTGTTTTCGAGCATTAATGTTATGAAAACGAAACTAAGAAATAAACTTTCTACAACCACAATAAAAGGTACCTTGCACACAAAGTCCGAAATTAAAAATTGTTTCGAGTTCAATGTGACAAATGACCATTTGAAAAAGTTCAATAAAAATATGTACGATTTCAACCAAAATAAAGATTAAACGGAAAATCAAGCAGCTAGCTAGTGATATCATCTACTACTGATAGCTATGATTTTCAAGAGAAGGTTCCTGTTCTCTGTTCTCATGTTCTGTTCCTGTTAGATTAGCATTTTCATACTAGTTTTTGACATTTCATTTGATTAAAACTTTGATAAATACATGCTTTTTATTATTTTAATTCCCTCTTCTATTTATTACTATCATTAAATAATACAAAATAATAAAAAGATAAAGATGTAGATTCACAGTTTTTTAAATTGGTATTTACAGTTTTCTGCAGTTTTTTTCAAGCATATCTACAGTTTTGCTCTATGCTGGGGTTGGCAACACTGACCAGAAACCAGTGTCAGTTTTCTCGTACTGTCTTTGTCTGTTTACCTAAACAAATGAATCATTTATGGTTTAAATTCGCCTGAATTTTCAATAGATACGTAATAAATGTTGTCAGCGTTAAATATTCGCTGTTATCTACACCAACGTTTTATCAGTTCTGGCTGAAAAATCGAATTTAAGGACTACTTTCAGGTCTTGGTCTTGCATGAACCCAGCAACCCACCATTAGATCATTTGTGTTACACATCCTGTGGATCTCCGGGTATGTTGTTCCCATTGTGACATTATTATGAATTTCAATCAAAAATATCGTATACCTCTGAGCGCATTAGAATTTTGCAACTACATAAATCTATTGTTTTACTGTGTGTATTTCTGACGGACACAGGTTTAGCTCGCACTGCCTAATCGACGGCTGGTACTTGAATGGGTCATTTTAAAAACAGTACTGATATCCCTGTATTGTTATTTTCATCTTTATTTGCTTTATGCACCAAAACATGTATTTTAATTTCATAACTACAAAAACTACAATAGTATCCTTGTTTCTTACTGTTGACTCAATTCTTATTTGTAAGTCGCAGAAGGTCTTTTAACTGTACATCAAATATTTTAAATAACTGTTCATAACGACATTATAAAATGGAAATATGTTCACAACAACCAGCTTACTGCCTTTTTCATGAGTATCCATTAGAGTAAAATAACAGCCAGAGCTGTATTTTGTTGTTTTTTCTGTAAGCTACAGATTGATTTTGTACTTGCTAACAACTCTTTAGAAAAGTTCCTTCGCATACAAAAAAAAAAACAAAATGGCTACTAGGGATTATGAATACATTTCAAGTCAGGCAGCAATGAAAACAGTTTTTGACTAATATTGTATACTTTTTAGAACTTGAAACACCATATATGATTTCAAAGGGCAATAAAACAGTCATATCTGAATTATGTTATACTGTTGATGGACAATTAACCAGAAACACATATCTATATTATTTTTACATGTAAAATTACAGTTACTGGAACAGACAACAGTCTATTCTGTAGATTTACCTTGTAATCAATAAATCCCAGATGTACTATAAGAATTTTCTACTAGACTTTTTTCTGTGTACTTCATATATTCTGTTGCCAAATGTCCAGTCACTAAAAGTATCTAGATTGAGCTTTGAATATGGTCCTAAGTTTTACAAGATTTACACCCAATTTATTATTGCCCATGTTCCAGACTAGTACAAAGGTGTCACTTGCTGATCAGCTGTTCACCTCAGTAGACGTGAAAACATAATGGGTACTTGTGAAATAGTGTCATGTTTTTTTTTTTATAAATACATTTTAATGCCTGGGAGTCAATCCTAATGTATTTTTCATTTTGGTCGATTCATGGTTTAGATGTAAAACAGAAAATTCGAGATTCAGGTGTTCTCTTTACCTGGGTTTCTCCTATGTATCCTAAAAATATTGAAGCATGCAAAATTAAAATATGTGACATGTTAATAAATCAACACGTGCGATCTTTAAGGATAAGCAATGTAAAATATTATTAATATGATTCTTCTGATTAAGATATATACCACTAACCCTGCTAAACAATGTTGAATATGGCCATAACACTTTTGCAGGTGTATTCTATCATTATTATTAATATACTGTGAAGGTAATTTCAATATTCTGAACAAGAATGAGGGTAGGCTGGCCCTTGACGGTGCATACCAAAGTAAATTTCTATAATAACAGTGTCGGATTTAGCGATCTAGAATGTAAATCGTTTCTTATTTTAGTACTCAGCAAGTGATCATTTAGTATTTTTCTCCCCTTGTTACTGTTCGTCGATATTGTGTTGTTTAATTGTTGTTGGTGTGATTGTTCTTGAGTGCCTTTTTTTTATCAAGGCTGATAATGGACAATAAAGGGTCATATGCGACCATTTTAATTACGAATGCAGTGAGTTTAATTCATGATGAGGTCAACAATAGTGTGGAGCAGGTCAACTCTATAATCGCAAAATACATTGTGGTAAGCGAATAAATTATTGCAAGAACAGGTCATACCATGGAAGATGTGCCGCAGGTGTAGTGAGCAACAATACCCAGCGGCCTGTATATGTGGTCTAAATACATTTGCATTCTAAGCTTAGTCCAATCTCACTTATCGCTAAGATGGAACAAAGACTCAAACGCAAGAATCTTGAAAAGAAACTCAGACCAAAAAAAGCTGATATAAAAATAACTAACAATTCGGATAGCAATTCGAAAGAAAATGAATAGTTTTATGGCGAATTCAATCAAAAACCTGATATTAACTACATTGATTTGGAGGTTGCTAAGCGAAAACAAAAAAAGTGACGACGTGATCTTGCAGATCGAACAAGTTACCAAATCATAGGACTGTACTTTGTCGCGCCTTCATCGGAGAATAAGGTTAACAGCGGCTCGATTTGTTGAAGTTTGTAGAAGAAGGCAGACAACAAGCTGTGAAGTTCTAGTAAACTCCATCATATACCCAACAGAGTTTTCTAGTAAGGCAATAAAAAAGGTAATACAAAAATCATTGGACACCGCTGTTCAGTCTTGGGGTTTGTTTATTGATCGCACACATCCATTTCTGGCAGATCGCCTCCATCTACCTATTACAGTAGACAAGAAATGTACTTAATACAAGTAAAAGCCTACCTGTTTATTGCTTTGCAAAAACTACCTAACTGTTTCCTCTTATTTTGAGGGCATAAGATATTTTTATGACCCTCATTAATTGTTACCATGTACCCCATGACCCTTGTAAACATAATTGTGTTTACTGACATGAATAAACGAATTTTAAATTGAGTTCTTGAACTTATTTTAAGAAATATATCAAATTATTTGATACATTTTTTCTTAGTCGGAACGCACCGTCGCGTCGCTTGGACTGGCAGGACGAAACAGCAGACGAATTTCGCCCAAAAACCGATTTGCACTTCACAGCTTACGTTTCATTTTTCATTACTTCCAAATGAAACTCTTGCAGCCTGCTAAAAACAAAGTCCATAGGGTGCTAATGACACTTTTTCGACTTTATCCACTAGGATCTTTTTAAAATATCAAGAAGTTGAGCACAAATAGTAAGCATTTCAACCCACCATAATTCTTGCGCAAAGACAAAATTTTGTAGAAAGCTCTGATAGCACCTTAGGCAATTATGTCCTGCTTATATCCAGAAAAACTTCAGAAACTGCAGAGCAGAAATTGAAGGCAACGGCGAAATGAGTACATTTCACGGGTCATGAAATTCAAATGAAAATGCAGGTATAAAATCTACCAAATTATCGTTCTCAAAAACATATTTCCTTGACATATCGATAATTTTAAAGTTCCACGCAAAATTCCCCTATACTTGACTGGAGTGAAATTCGAATTCATTCTTCCCTACTGTCGGCAGTTGCGGATAGATATGTTGGCTCTTGGTGTCAAACCTACAGAGCAGGTACCGATTTTTTCAAATCGTGAGCACATATTATTCGTCGAATTTTCGTTACTTAAATTTCCTGTAATCACTGGGATCAGAAGCTTCTTAATAATAGAACGTATTTCACTGATATCAAAGATGCAATATTTAGAATCACCTTGCCCCAACCCCCACTTTTTAAGCAGTACCATTTTTTTATATCAATGAGGAACCCCTGTAACGTCAAAAACGGAGTTTCAGCAATTGTTACTTTTTCTTTTTTGCCTGTAGCACCGTTGCCACTGGACTAAAGCTACTAGTAACCCCGTGTGGAAATTTCATAAAATCCGAGCTGTTATTTCCAAGTTGATTAGTGATACAGTTTTTCATATGACTTAAAAAAACATAACATCTCATTTTAGAAATTTTTCGCGATTACAATACTTCCTCGCCAATGTCGTGGGAAGTAAAACGGCTTTAAAATCGAGGAGTATCAGCGAACGCGATTATGAGTACCTATTTGCAGACCGACTTATCTACGCGATATTATATGAAATAGGGCCACCAAATTATCTGAATAGTCTTAGTCCGTACATTGCGCCGCAACGCTTGGGTTGGCAGCACGAAACAGTAGACAAAATTCGTCCAAAATACGATTTGTAGAGGTTTGCGCGTTTCGAAATTGACGCTTTATTTTTTGATATTTTTGGACGAAATTTTCACAGTGCTGAAAACAAAACCCCACAGGGTGCTATAGAGCCACTTTTTCATTTTTTTCACTAGGTTCTTTTTAAAAAAATCGCGAAGTTGAACAAAAAAAGTGCGCACTTCAACCCATCATAAAACTTGTGCAAAAACAAAATTTCAAAAAGTGCTCCTATAGCACCGTGAGCAACATACTCTATGAACTTCATTCAAAAATATTGAAAAATGGAGTGTCAGTTTTGAAGCAGCTCAACCCTTGTAAATGGCTTGAAACTCACTGCGTCGGAGCCGCCTTAAGAGTAGATATACAATGTTATTGGTTGACTGCTTTCAAATTGAAGTCAAAATAGTGTTGTCGCGCTGTCGCTGTCGATTGACTCGTCTCGACTTATGCAGAACATAAACCTTTATGAACTAATGATGAGGTTGCATGGGAAGTGGAGAGTCAATAGACAAAGACTTATAGTACATCAAAAAATAATTCATTAATTCTACGTCTAGCATACGAAAACTTGATAAATTTAAATTTTACTTCAATTATTAAGAATACGTTTTCAACAACAAGCCATGTAATTCTCTGTTCCAACAGAATAGTTTGGATCTATTTCTGAACTATATTCACCTCGGGCGTGCTCAGAAAAATAATTTGGTATTAGTTCTAAACTAGTTCGGAACTGCTTGCTTGAAAAAACCTATAATCCCACTACCATTTTCTTGTTTCTAGCTTAACACAAATAGTGATTTTTGTAGAGAATTTTGTTTCTGGCTATTCTATGAGTAATTCTGAATTCAAAGAGGCTGAAATAAAGTTGTGAAGCTATAAAAAATGGCAGATTTTATTAAAACTTTTATTTTCATTATTAGAAGATAAAGACTTCATTAGCCCTTCAGTGGCCCCTATCCACCATTAAAATATTTCCGTCTTCCATTGAAACACTCTCTATGATACTGCTGATCAGGTGATAGGGCTATAAAAATACAAAGAACCAATGATTACATATTATTCATAGAAGTAATGCGTGGTTTTTTGTTTTATATGATTTTACAAAAGATGACTGTATGATTTTGTTTCAGTTCCTGAATCCATGTGGTAATGGAGGTGGAAGAGGAGCAACTCACGTTTTTTATAAGGCACAAATTGGAAAATGATAAAGATTTTGTAGCACAAGTACCCAAAAGCAGTACTATAGGTAACACTAGATTTGAATAGCGCAATACATATACTCGTATTAATAAGTATGTTTTCAGTGTTTTGTATGTAATGTTATGTACTTTATGAAATAACTAGAATTCTACCTGCGGTTTTGCACGCATAGGTTTTATTATGAAAATTAGAACTGATTTTGATATCCAAATTATTTTAGTTATTCCATTATGACGTATACAGGGTGTTCCATGTAGAACCACAACGATCGATTTCTGGAGAAGTTGTCGTTAAACAATTATGAAAATTCGAGGTTATCGCACAGATAGGGTATAACTACTGATGTGAGGAATTCGGCTAAAATATTTACAAAATGGTAGCATTTCCAGTTGTACCATACATCTCATATATAAGATCATATATACCTAACTCTAACCATTTTTGAGAGATATCAAATTTTGTGTAAAAGTCACAAATGAAGGTCGATAAAAGCCTATGAATTTTTCCTATACCTTGTTTGTCTTTTTCGAAAGACTTGTAACTGCTTGCTTATAATCAACCTAATTCGATATTTTGATAAGCAATAATACTGGTGGTCGCCAAAAAAATGGGACGAATATTAAGTGGTAAAAAATGCCAAAAGTCATTTTTTCCATATTGTATAGTCTTATGTAAGGTTGTCTACTTCGCAAATTAGTAGTTTAGCAAATATTTGCTTTTTAGACAGCAAAAAGCGCAACATCCAACTAGGAATGTATGTACTGTTTGCCAAATTAGTTCAGCACTCCCGCGATAGTCTAGCGGACATAGCAACGCGGTGGCAGTGAATATCGCACGAATGACCGAGGTTCGAGACCGCGAAATGGTATTTTTTTTTTCTTTTTTTATGTGCACCACATTTGAAAAAGTGTTTTTTAATAATAATTCACGGCGCCATCGCCAACCATGCGGAACTGACTATAATTTTTTAAGTAATAATTTAGTCGTTGCTTTCAAGCAACTCTTGAGATATACGGTGAGGTTCAAATTTGGCTGACGTCGCAATGTGTACGAGAGAGAAGCGTGCAATATGTATGTTAGAAAGAGTGAGCCGATGGCGTCCGTGGCCTCGTACTCGGATTGCTAAACAAAACTGCTCTTTGGTTCACATTACGTTGTCAGTAGTATATGCTTTTCACTGTATGACGAACTTTTGCTATACTGAAAGTTTTATATACCTAGGTCAAAAAAGTCGTCATTTATGAGTAATATGATCTTTTCAAATTTTTGAGCGTCAGAATTCATATAGGGTGCTCATTTTTATAGTCAAGACACTAGGACAGGGAAGTACTATAATAGTGCAGTAGGTACATCTTTAGTAGCTTCTGTCAGGTAATCCTTGGCCCTCTATTACAGACAAAAATATTTATAGTTTGTCCTAATCGATCCTGTTGCGATAAAGTAATCGTAAAAAAACGAATTAATCATTGGTCCCTCTACTTGGAAAGTACCACTGGATTTTGATGAAATTGTGAAAGGTCTGCCTAATGGTACTAGTAGTATGACCAAAAAAATCTCAACTCTCCCAAGCTTGAGTTCATCTTTTTCTTTTCGTTTTTCAGAGGAGATACAATTAAAAAAGTCAAACTTAGTTTTTTAATATACTTTAAGAAGTATTTAAGAGTTTATTTGAATGATTCAAAGTTACTAATGATCTAGTCACGTTTGCGTAACTCCAAACACAAGATATATGCAGTTCGAAAATGTGTGTGGAATTTGCTTTGAAAAATCGGAAAACTGCTGTTGAAATAATTATTATTACATTATTTACACGTCACAAAACTTATTTAATCAGGCCATTTATTCACAAAAATTGTGGATAGTTATAAGCTTCCTACTTGAAAAATATACGCAGTTTATGGTAGGTTAGAAGGGTGGCTGCATGTAAACAGTCACTTGCTCCAAATGCTGCCGTGGAATTATTTACGGCAGGACAGTGGGCAGCGCGAGTGGCAGCGGCAGTGGCTGCATGTAAACCCGGTATAAGATGCCACTTCAAAGGAACAAGTTTGTTATACCCGCGGATTTAGCATATTATACTAATTCCGGAAATAATTCCTCTGTCGATGTTTAATCGTTGTTTTTCCACAATTACTGGCAATTTCATAATACATCCAATATAAAGAAGGATATGTAATCGTTTGTTCTAGAGTGAACTGAAAATCAAATTTGTCATATTTTTACTTTTGTGATCTCCGAAACGGAAAGAGATACGGTCGGTTGAATGATGGCAAGCTGCGTATTTATATATTTTAGAAAATGAAGTTGTAAACTTTCGACCCTTCGAATATCTCCAGAGATACACGAAGAAGAAAACGAATTATCCCAAAATAGTTTCTAATCTTTTTTTGAATTTATTTGAAATGGGATCTCAAAATAAACTGCATATTAACATTTCCACTTTTTAGCCTCAAGGTGGCATAAATAGAACATTCGTCTCTTATCATCCGTCTCAACTTTGCATTTTCTTACAGATGCCATTTTTGCATAGGCAAATAGTTTTTTAATTCTGATTCAAATATTATGGCATATCATACATTAATATTGTAAAAATGTAATTATTTAAAAAAACGATTTTTCCTGAGTAAACCTTGAAGGTATCAGATAGTCATTTAATTTATAGAATATCAAAGATGATAACATGTTACTGATTGGTATAAAACTTCAAGTTCCTAACTTCATATAGTTGGTGAATGAAGAACCGCAAAACGTAACTAATTTATATTATTTAAGGGTCATAATGAAAACATCCAAATCGGTATAATTTTAAAAAACTGATAGCGCAACGTCAGAACAAAATTCTTATTTTACCACCCTGTAGAAGAGAAAACGTGGTCATATATTAGTGTTTAATTTATTTTAAATTTGTAGATAATGTAGATATTTCAGAAGTTTTTGGACTAAGGCCAGGAAAAAATAAAAACGACAGGGTAAATTAGGAAATACTTTTAATTTCCAAACTGTCTGAGTGCTTTTTTTTATTTGCAGCGCAGCTTTGCCTCTTCCAAGAATCCTGTATCGTTCAGGCGAATGTAGCAAGATTAGTATTAGTATGTACAAGGTGACGCTATAAATTGACCGCCTCTAACTAGTTTTATATAACCATCTAGAAGAAAAACCCGTGTTACGTAGCTTAACAATTACATTATATCGATTTTTTATGCTATTATTTAGGTTAATTTGACAATATGTAGGTTTTACTATAAAATGTCGCATTTAAACTAGCCGACATTAACCTCATGTTCACTTGTAGTAAGCGCGGAATGATCTAGCACTCGCCTAGTGCACAAGTTGACATTTTATCGACTATTTTTAAATTTATTGTGGATTTTTACATAATAACCTGCGGCAGGGTAATTTCAAAAAACCAATAAAATGCCATCTTGTTGACTAGATAGCTGGTAGTGTGCAAATAGTTCAAGCGGCCCCTGCTACAAGTGAGCATGAGAACCTACATAATTTAAAAAATAACAGGTCTTTTTTCAAGTTACGTAATGCCCCTGCCAGTCAGGAAGGGCTCTAAGGCTGCTGCCCCATTAGTGCGTTGCGTTGCGCTGCGTCGTTTCCATGTATTTTAGATGGTATGCCACATTAGAGCGCTGCGTCGTCGCTCGCGACGTTTCAACGGATTGCGCTGCGATGTCGGAGCTTCAGTGCGACGACGGACAGTTGTGACGGACAGTGTTGCACTGCCAGAGGAGTGAAGGAGACATACGAACACGATATTTTCGTATCTCAGCATGAGTGTGGAGGAGATTGATATAGATTTTCTCATCTCCTTGGTGCAAGAAAGGCCGATCATATGGGATAAAGGCCATGAACATTACAATGATAAATTTCGGAAAGCAAATGAATGGGTTTCAGTGTGTAAACATTTATATGCAGATTACGAGGAATTTGATGATACAAAAAAGAACAAAATTGGTGAGCTAAGTATATGTTATAGTTATAAGTTAATACGTATTAAATATTGATTTATATCTTCTTCAACTGCCATGGTAAAGTCCCCACGGAACTCATAAAATAATTAGCAAACTGATCTCTGATAAAATTTTCAGCTAAAGATTCTGCATCGATATGGGGTTGCAATTGTGGGAAGTTATTTATTGTCATCTTTTCTTGTTGCCGTAAACCATCGTGTTCTGTGACAAAATTGTGTAAAACGCAGCATGCTTTCACAATATCAGTAGTTAAATCATATGCTGTGTCAAGTGGTCTATGTAAAATACGCCATTTATTTGCCATGATCCCAAAAGCACATTCTACATATCTACGAGCTCTGCTAAGGCGATAATTATAAACTCTTTGTTTCACATTGAGTTTTTGGCCGCCGTATGGACGCATAACATGATTACTCAAACTAAAAGCTTCATCACCGACGAGTACATATGGGATTGGTGGCTCGTTACCATGATCATTTACAAGTGGTTGAGGATCAGGCAATGGTAGTTCATTTCTCGTTAAAATCTGATATAGTTTCGAATTTCTAAAAATAGTCGAATCACTTTCCTTTCCATATGCACCCACGTCGACAAAAACAAATTTATAGTTGGAATCTACAACCGCCAGTAAAACAATTGAAAAAAAATGTTTATAATTATAAAACAGGGACCCACTCTTGACAGGTTTCATTAAACGTATATGCTTCCCATCAATTGCCCCAAAGCAATGAGGAAAGTTAGCTTTACGGTCAAAATCTGATGCAATATTTTGTAGTTTCTCTATGGTGATGTCTTCTATGTACTGTAGCCTGAGATATTTCCATATAGCTTGACAAACTGACGATATAGCTCTAGAGATTGTTGACCTTCCACGTTTAAATTTGAAACGCAAATCCTTCATCGAATTTCCGGTGCCCAAGTACCTGAAATAGAAACAAAAAAATTATCTTGCTTAGACATTATTTTCTTTCCTTGCAGGCAACGAGGTGGTAAAAAAATGGAGAAGTGTAAAAGACAACTTCACTCGATATGTAAAAAAATTAAAAGAAAATAATTCATCTGGATC